GAATTCCTGGCTAGAGAAAGGCCTGGATTCAGAGTGAGATTGTCTGTTTGTCTTGCAGAAGGCCAGTGAGGTTGTCATGCTAAGAGTATTTCAGTGAGAAGCTGAGTGTACCAAGGTGTCTGCAAAAGAAGAATCACATGCTGCAACTCTGCCCCCTGCCCCACGCTCATCATGTTCCCACGCAGCCTCTCATCTGCCTCTGAAAAAAGGGAAACAGCTCTAGAGGATTCAGCTTTGCATGGCACAGATATCTGGCTTTTTGAATACATGCAAATCAGTCCATCAAAGATGCAGAGAAGTCTCCTTCTTAGGGAGTTTTATCACTCTTCAGGAAATCCTGCACCATTGCTCTGGTTTCAGGATTAAGCGTCTATAACAGCCTGTAGCAAGCAGGGCTTGTTGACTTTGGAAATCTGTAGCTGCTTCCTGATACAACAGTAATGAGTGTCTCTGGGCTCAGCTCACAGAAGAGCTTGGTCTTGACTCTCATTTCTCAGGCCCTGGAGACGGCTCTGGCAGTGGGGCAGAGACTGAAAGAGGTTGAGGACTGTTTTTCCACTGTCAGGGCTCTAGAGAGAGACTTCCAGGGTCGGTATGGCAAAAAAGGTCCTTTGAGTAAGCAGAAATCAAGCCCTAAGTTTTAACTGAACTATTGAAAATATCCCTGCCTATGCTAGAGACTGGGGGGCGCTTGGGGGCATGAGTGAGTCTACAAGCCAAGTGACTGGGGAGCTGCTTTCCCTGAAAGGAAAAAGACACTCTATGTCGAACCCTCTTCTGGTTATGCACAACGTTACACTCACCAGCATCTGCCCGCTTGCTAGGAGGCTGTCTCACCTATCCGAATTTTGAGATATATGCCGGAAAGAGAAGCTTTTCTGCTAGGCATGAGGGAGGCAGAGGGGGCTGTAGCACACCTGTGGGGGGGATGCAAGGGCTGGTGTCCCAAGGCAGTGGCTGCAACGTCCCTGCCTCTGTTTCCTGTGACGGGGGTGCTCCACAGCACTGGGCAGTTCACCCAAACCCGTACTGTGAACCTGAGCAACCAGGACATGGTGCATTTCCAAGGCTTCCTCAGGAAAAAAAGAGTTCCCTGCTTTTCTTGTGCAGTCAAAGGTGCTCGATTTGTGCATGTCAGAACATCATTACAGGCCCTAGGCTCTCGGGCGCCAACACTTTAGGATGTGCTGTGTGCTAAGGATTTTTATAACAGATGATATAAAACCCATGTAGCCTGTCATACACTTCCTTTTTTATCACAGCTACATTTTCTTCCTTCTGAGCAGTGTGCCTGGCCTATCATGGAACAGATAATGAATAGTCTTACCTCCTAATACTCAAGACTATTTTCCCTAGTTGGTATTAATATAAGGAAAACAGAATGAATCCTCTCATTTTTAGATAGCACATTTCACTCAGGGATCTGAAAGCACAGAGCTAAATTTTTATCAGCCCCATTTGTAAACATGGAAACTGATACACAGAAAGTTCGTAGACCTACAGATGAGACCCAGCCGTCCAGACATCTCCCATGGGGACTGCTGTGCTTGGCCATGCAGCACAAAAAGCTCAGTACTTTATAACTGCTACGTGACTCATTGTTTAAGAGCATCTCCCCCCTCCCCCCCCACCCGTTGCTGAGTTGTCCCATGAGAAAGCAGTAACATTAGTGAGCATCCTTTCCATGCACTAACTTTGCTTAATGTCTGCATCCAGGCTAGCGGTACAGCTGCAATGGGATTGAGTTTGTTAGATCATTTTAAAAAGCCTCCTTTCTTTCTCCTTTTTACTCTACCCACAATTAAAATATCTCTGCTTTTTTCTTTTATAAAATTAATGTTTTCCTGGATGCCATTTGCAAAACAAACCCAACAATAAAGTCCTGAACTATGACCTAACAGGCTTTCCATCTTTTGATCAAACCCAAGTAGTTAATCTTGTTATCTGTGTGACTGCCAGAAGGGCAGAACATGTGGTGGCTCTTAAAAATGACTTGAATAACACCGTTTTTACAGTGTTGTCTCAAGCATCTTCCTTAGATTTGTCTCTATATTTCTATAATGGATTCCTTCTTCATGAACTACATGTCATATACCTGTTTGGAGAAGCAGTGATTGAATGATCCACTAGCACTCACTGAAAGCGATCACCCATTGAACTAAACAGGGAAGGAATATTGTCTTGTTTAAAAAAAAATGAAAAAGAAGAAGAAACAGTAAGAGGGTGTTTTTATTTAAATGGAAATGAGATGATTCCAGAGCTTTATTCAGTTTGTAGCAGAGAAGCAAATGATTCAGTGTCACTGCACTAAGAAGAAGAAACTGTGCACAAGTCAGCTCCAGATGTCTTCTTTCCTGACAGCTCCTTTTCTCATCTTTCTCTGAACAATCAATACTTTCTCCTTGGCAACAAGCAGCCCAATCAAGAACGGCCCTTCTGAAACATTTTGGTAAAATGTTCCTTTCTTCTTCTTAAGGGGACACATCCCTTCCTATTGCTTTCACACCATGCTGCAGACATATTCGTCTTTCCTCCTCCTACTAGATAAAAGCACCACTGCGCACTCTTATTCAGCTCGCCTCTTTGCCACCACCACCATTATTATGATTTTTTCCTGTAACAGCTGAGCCTTTCAAACAGGAATGATTGCTTCTGGGGAGCCTCTTGCCTTCTGCTTGGGAACACTCCACTAATGGGCAGAGGAGGCAGCTCTTCCTGCTCCATTATCTTGTCTCTTGGGTGGTTGCTCCCCTCCTGGACACACGGATGCTAAATGCTCTAGCTGGGAGGCGATAGCAGATCCCTGATGGAAATGAGTGTGGAAGGGCAAAAAGGTAGGGGATGGGCATGTAAATCAGTTTTCTAAATTTTCTTCTTTTGTTGCTCAGATATATTGCCAGGGACTAAGCCTCCTGTTGTCCCCTTAGGATTTTGAAAATGCTTAGGTTTTAATGTTTCTTATGGCCTTTCAGTCAGAGATTCCAACCTTCCTTTTAATTCAGAACCCCTACATGCTTGCTTTTGAGTGGAGGTGCACGCCTCTATAAAGTGAACTAAAGCCTCTTGCTGGGAAGTCTTGAAGGCTATTTCCGTACTGAGGACTTGGAATTGCAGCCCACTTCTGGGATCCATTCAAGCATCATTAAGCACATCATAAACTCAGTGAATCCTTTCGGAGCTATCATTGCATGCTGGGAGTGCAGGGGCTGCACAAAGGATGTTCAGAAAGGGTTGCCTGCACAAAGATTTAGTAGCGGGGTCCATAGCTGATGGCATATATGAACCACAGTGGTGAAAGTTATTTATGGAGGAAGAAAAATAAAAGGAGAAGGGAAGCGTGGCTGGGAGGGGAGGCATGCGGGTTCAGGGGCTCCTGCCCAGCCCAGCAGCCCGCTCCTCCCCTGGCAGAGCTAGTGGGGCCCTGAGGCAGCCTGAGCCTGAGCCACGAACTCCCAGTATAAAATCACAGTCTCTCTCTAGGGGTGTTTAGCACAGGCAGGGCAGAGTGCAGCTGGCAGGGGAGATTTTCTTGGGCCAACAGAAGAAGAGGGAATCTGCCACAGTTGCTAATTTGGCCCCAGCTTCAGCTCCAGCTGTAGCAGAGGAAAGTCACACTGCAAGGAGGAGTGCTTGGATAAATACCTCCCTAACACCCTGCTCAGTGAGCAGCTTAAGGCTGAGATTTGGTTACACTTACTGAGATTTGACCTTATGTAACCACCTGAGAGGCCATAAAATAACCTGGTCCTCTTTTAAATCCAGCTTAGGTCCAGGACTTCTCTAGGACACCACCCCCCTGCAAAACGCTGGCTCTTGGCACAACAGCCGGTGAGAGGGATGGGAGATAAACTTGCTTTTCTCCATGTTGGGCCCTGGATTCTCAGGGGGTAGAGAGAGACCCCTTCTCCCCAGTGGCAGAGACCTTCTTCCCTATGCATAGCCCTATCCTTCTCCTTTACTGAACTGCTCTGTCAGTCCTCCCCCTTCTTCTGACTAGCCTCTGGATGAAAATGGTTCCATGTTGCCCCTACTCTCCCATCCCCGCTCAATCCTTTTCTTCCTTCTGCCTTGCCATCCTCCTACCTGCCAGCCCTGCCCTTCCTCCCTCGCTGCCCCAGCCCGACTCCTCCTCACGGGAGATGAGTCCTTCAGGAGCAGCACGTGAAGTCTTTGTGCACCTTCAGGCTGGAGGTGGGAATTATGGGATTAGCATTTTAACTGGCCTGAAAGCTGCTTAGGCAATCATTAAACCTCCAATCTTCTCTCCATCTTTCAAGGAAGTCTTTCTGGACTAGCTGGAGAGAGGGAGTACCCAGTCACGTTTTCAGGGGTCAACTTCTCACCCAGCTGAGATCCCTCATGTCCTGTGTCCAGGTGGTTTGAAGGGATTGCTACAGGAGTGGAGGTGGGAAACCTAGCTAAAACCTTACCAGGTGCTCTGGACCCCAAAGTGCCTCCCCACTCCTAGCTTTCCATGCTGGAAAGTGGATCGCTTGTCTGGGACCATATCTAGTCCCTATCCCCTCCCTGTCCTTCTCACCCCGTCACCTACACTCTCCCCTGCAGCAGTTTTGGAGGGGCTGGTGGCACAAAGAAGGCGGGCAACTGTGTGCTAGGCACAGCAAGATCAGCCTTAGGATGTCGCCTTTTAAAGCAAATCCTCAGGTGCCTCGAGCCTGCGTTTTACTCATGCTGAATGAACTCATGCTTCAGCAGCTGCATCCCCCCGTTTATCCTGCCTAACTGGGAGGCAGCACAGGCAATGCTGGGTTTACCAGGAAGCCAGCTGGCTCCTGTGGACACAGTGGGTGCCCCTTGTACGGCAGGGGACGGCCCCATGTCTATGTGCCCTCACCCACCGCCTTCCCCCATGTCCCATCCCCACGTGACTCCCTCAGGCCTGAATAACCCTCTCTGATCTCTGGCGGAGAAAGGATTTCTGCACATGGTGAGGGACGCTACCTATCCTAGGGACATCAGCGGTCAAAACTAACGCTTACCTTGCAGCAGCTCTGTTGATGTATATTTGCTGCACCATGAGATTGTCCTCCCAGTATGTTGCCTCTGGTCTTAGAGATTGCAGATAGCCTGAAGGGGAGGCAAAGCTCATGACAGCAACGGGGTTCGACAACACTATTCATTAGAGTGAAATGTAAGTTAGTAACACTATGTACTGAGTTCTGTACAAATGCAAATGAATAGCTCCCAAATCATTTGACACAAGCAGTAGGAAAAAAAGGTTACACTATAGATCCTCTTATAATGAAGAAAAAAGGTGTATTCCCTGCCCAGACTGAATTCTTTCTTATTTTTTTCCTCCCAGAACTTCTACCCTGGGAAATTTCAGTTCCAAATTTAAAAGTTTTGGAATTGAAGAGTAGACAAAAACAAAGGATTGTAACAGGACAGTTGGTTTGCTGAATCAGCCACTTCTAATAGCCTCTATATGGCAGTTCTTTTCCTCAAATGCAGCCACATCTTATATAGAACATGGAGATGAAGCTTAACAGAATGCAGCAGCAATGTACCACCAGTCTAAAAAAGTTCAAACCCAGAAATGCTGGACAGTTTATGCAATTTGAAGGTGGTACCAACTAGAAGCCAAATAGAAAAAAACAAAAGCCATATCTATTTTTTTTAATCTCATGATTTTTAAGAAATCTCAAGATTTCTTGGATCCAGCGGAACTAGGGCACTATAGAAGTCATATGACTGTTGGGAGTAAAGGTTATGTAGTCGAAAGATATACCTTTAAACATTTGAATAAGATTTTGGATATTCACTTGAAATAAATTTAGACACCAGTGATTGATATCATGTACTCATGTGGTCAACCAGTTGAAGTCAGTGAGGAGAAAATAAATAGTACCTAATAATGCTATTTTAAGTAGAAAATAATATTTTCCATCTAAGGACACATTTGAAATATCACAGTTTCTTTTGCAATAAAGCAGGCACAGGTCTATCTGTTGACCTTATCTCCTTCTGTCATAGACAAGAATTGGCTGTGCTTGGATAAAGTCTGCCAGGAGATGATTTTCACCACATAGCATCCATTTACTGGAGATGAAATACTTAGTGGTGGGGATTTGCTTTTCATGATGTTCTGCTATATCCTAGTGCAAAAGGTGCCTTTATTACAGCAGATCAGTGACGTGGCTCCCCAGCAGGCACTCGGATGTGCCGACTGAGAAGATGAAGCTCCCATCTGCTCGGCATGGTGCGTATCCGACGTCCGCAGCTCCTTCTCACCCCTCTTACCAATAGGAAAATGAAGCCCCGGGCAATGATATGATTTACCCACAATTGCATAGAGGCTAATTTCTAGTCTAGGAGTAAAATCTCTTTCTCCTGCACACTAGGCAAACATTTTTCCCATATAGCTTCAATGCATATACCTATGGTGGTGCACAGCTATACATCCCTATACCTCTATGCAAATGTTTTTAGTGGTCTTGATGTATAAATACACAGGCAGTATGGTATTTATCTCCTCCAACTAAAAAAAAAAGGGAGACAACCCCCTCCAAGCAAAAATGACTGTAATATGCCAGAGCTACAATTGCACAGGTCTCTCTGTACACAACTGCTAAAACCAAGGAAATCTCCAGCCAAGCCATGAGCATACAATAACCTCAACCCACACACCCTCCCAGCCAAAGGGTGTTCTGGTTCCCCAGCGCAAATTGGGAAGTCTACTGAAATCAGTGGGTTAGTCCGAACACTGCAATAACCAAGACAAGATGATGATCCAAAAGATGCAGGGGCTACACAATAAGGCATTTTTCCCCGAGCTTGCCGTAGTTAACACATCCAGTTCTTCACACCTTTCCCAGGCCAGGCCTGTTCATGTGAACTGTTTGAGGCACCACAGTTTGGCATTGCCACTGAAGGAAGTGGCTCTGTCCTTTCCCCATCCCCATCTGCTCTTTACCTTGCCCACGCATTCCCTTTCCTTCTGCTAGCACAAGGGTCACATTGCGAACCAGGCTGGGGAACTGATCTGGGCTTAAAACATATATGTACTTTTCTATTTGCCTATTTATTTTTGCTAGGTGAGTTTTAAACCCAGCTCAGTTGCTGTATTCAGCTCAGCACTTGTGTGCTGGTCTGCGTGGAGGGTAAGCACAGGAGTGAGAATGAGCAGCAGAGAATAAAATGATTTCTTTTGGTGGCAGTGCTAATTCATGGAGGCTTAAAATGCTTCTGAGGCTACAGACCCTGCCATCGCCACCCAGACTTCTTTTTACAGTTTATAATGCTCTGTTTGTCTGTTGAAATGCATGACTTCAGAGTCAAAGTGATATTCATAGTCTGAATTAAAGCAATGGTAGGCTGGGAGAATCAGTTCCCCTCATCTGAGATCCGTCCATCCCTGATAGAGATTTGTCTTACTCGGTTGTTTGCAACCCTTTAAAATTTGTGTGCGCTAAACATTTTCTAATGGACATGTCGATCCTGTGCGGTGAATTTAAGCCCGCTGACAATAGATTTGCTTTCCTCAGTTTGCTTCTGCAAATGCATTAAAAGCAGTCCATCAATCATTGCAGATCCAGGTTTGTAGGTTGAAAATGAATGATCTAATTTGTTCTTAAATTCTGCACTGAGGAGTACGTGTGCGAAGGATTTATGTCACTGAAGAACTAAGTGGGCACTTTGTGAGTGGAAGAGGAAGATAAAATCTGCTGATATTTCAGAGAGGAAATTGTGTAAAATCTTTCAGATCGCTTAAACATCCCTGCGAAATGAGAGCTTATTCTTCCTGAGGTAGCTCAGGCTTGAAACCGGGCTGGATGGGAACAATTAACTTATTAAATGTGGCCCCCCAGAGCAGCAGGTAACGTGTGTTAACCAGGAAAAACGAGATTCATCCGTAATCATTCCCGTTTGCATCCCCCCCCCGCCACAT